CCTAAATACTTTCAAGAATATACATCAACCAGGACATCACACTTTTCTTTTCTATTTAATATATACAACAGAGATTATTTTCGTCCATCAAAGTTATTATACAAAGAAAAATAATTTATCAAAAATTTGATGTCATGAAATCACAAAGGTTAATTTGGCTTATCATTTCATTAGTCATATAATTCACAAACAGAAAAGTTCATCTGCACTTTCTCCCTTGGAACAATTCCTTACAAAATAATTATAATTAGTTAAGTTATAGTAACTTTTTTTTTTTCTATATGCATCATTGGATTTTATCGATTTCTCAAAAAATGATTGAAAAAGAAAAGGATTTTAATCAAATAGATTATTGTTGAGATAAATACAGACGTTCTATGAATATTATTATTATAAAGCAAGATATAATATCGTCTAATTAGTTCAGTCTTTTCAGGGGTGTGGATGTGGGTGTGTGAGTGTGGGTGGTTGTGAGGGTGTGGGTGCGGGTGTATGTAAAAAGAAGGCCCACACACCTACTCCGCACACCCATACCCGCACCCATACTCACACCCGACACCCACACCCACACTCATCCACACCCACACACCCACACCCACACCCACCCACACCCTTTCGAATCCATAGTAGATAAATAAGATCGTTCTCGGTGTTGCTCAGAGCCGTACTTCATACTTTTTTGCACTTTTATCGACTCTACAAAGATATAAAACTCATAAACAAATTACAGCGAAGATCATTGCATTAACTTTATTTCGATGAACAAATGTTAAACTGACATATTCACAATCATGGAACATATGTTTATGAGCGTCTAAAAAATCGTCGTAAAGGATCATATAAATGCCAGCAACATCGCTTTACAGGCATCTGTCGAAAGTTACTTTGAAGATAATCGAGAACATTGATGCGATCAAGACGATTTCGTTGTGTGTAAATGGCTCGGATTTCGTACTGAAACAAAAAAACAACTTCTAATAGACTTTTCAAAATCACAATCACGAAAATAGTGAATGATTCAATCAATTATTATTGATAATTATACTTTAAACTTACTGGATGTAAAGCTCGGGACCACATAGCCGCATCAGCTATTCGACCAATCCATTGATTGTGATTACCATTGGAAAGCACAGCGACATGTTCATCTTGACTCGGTCCACCATTATTCATCTGAAAGGCACGTCTTCCATCGATATATAAACTGAACGTCGTTCGGTTTGCTGCCATTAGAAGTACAATGTGATGCCACCCATGTAGACTTATATGAAAATAAATTTTTTCATCAATACCAAACGGTAGACCAGCAAAGTTTATGTGAACAAGAAGAGCAGTATTTAAACGTAAATATAGATCGTTTGTCATATGGCATCGAATCAACGATAGTGTCGGTATCCACATTCCAACTGATCTATCTGTAAAAACAATTCTAAACACATGTTGATCTTCTTATCTTACGATCATTTCGACATTCTCAACTAACACTTCCAAGACGTGAGTGTATTAAATATTGACTGTACTATTTTGAAGATCTCATGTGACTCTCAAATAAAGAATAAGGACATGTAGGTTCGATACTATCGACATAATCAATCATAAACAGATCAAATCATGGTTTATTCTCAAGATTTTTCTGCTAAGAAGAACTTTGTAAATCAATGGATTACTTACCAATTTTAATCCAAAAAGCAAGTGTACGAACGTCAGGTCTCTCGAACTCAAAAAACAGCAAATTTGGATCCAAGTAAAGTGATTTCATTGGTAGTCTGCATTCTTTTCTCAAAAACGATTGTAAACTTCGATGTTCATATGAATAATAGGATATTGAATTGATCAAATCATCTGAATCACAATTTAACCATCCAACAAGTTGTGAATCTGCATGAGTGAGTGATGGATGACTAAGGAACAAGAAATAGTGTTGAAGAAACCATTCATCGTGAACAACAAGACGACGCCAATGTTTGCAAGTGCCAGAGATACGAAGAAGTTTTGAGAATGGCGAAATAAACAAAAAAATTCGCTGTAGAATGTCGTCCGGTAATCGATCCATCAATACGATACTATTATTTGCAAATAAACATATACATTGTCACCATCTTATATTGTCCACAAGACCGTCAGGTTGACTGCAAATGAGTGAATCTCAGAGAATGCAGTAAGTTAAGTGATAGTGCACGAGATCACACTGTCGGACCTAGATGAGAACATCGAAGAATCGAAAGATGACGATCACAAGTAAAATGGATAGTCAGCGATATTTTTTTTTTGTGCACAATCGAAGGCTGTAAATCATGATTTACTGACTTACGAGTTAGCTCCGTACGGTAACACCTGCTTGGAGTCCAAATGATAGTTCAATGACTAGCTGACGATCCGACTTGTTCGAAAACTGATTACCACAGGTTTTATTGGCCTTTGTTTAGTTGTGTAATCGACAAATTGTTACCTGAATAAAGTTATTCAATCATAGGCGGCGGAGCCACGAGGCCTGGGTAGGCACAAGTCTACCCTATGTTAGAGAGGTAAAGGCTTGGGTAGACTCGACCAAGTACAGATAAAGGCTTGAATAGGCTCGATTTAATGCATAAGTTTTATAATATCAGTTACTTTTCACTTTTTTTCTAACAGATAATGCGTTATTAAAAGGTCAGTCTGCATTTTATCTATACAAACTCATGTATAAAGGCATACTAATTGGTTTTCGTGGGCGCCTATATCTACGTCAAATTCTTTATTTTCAACATAAAGTAGTTTAACTGTTGTTATGAACTTCCATTCAAAATAACTTTTGAATTTTAAGTAATAAAGTACAATACATTTTCATAGGCGGCTGCGCTACAAGGCCTGAATAGGCCTAAAGTTCATCAAAATTCAAGGTTCATAGCCGAAGAGAGACTCAAATAGTTGTTTCTCACTCTATCAGATTGACAAACATGCTTGGTGTTTGAAAGGTTTTGCTGTCATTACTGGTAACTACTAGCATTTTTAGGAAAAAAAGGGAGTTTCCTATTACTAAGTGTTGTAGTAAACATTAGCAATGAGCTCATGTCATAATGTTTTGTTACAAATGAAGAATAACTTTACAGGATACTTGTTGTCATATCTACTGGATAATGCCCAAAATTTTCTCTCTTCTCAGCGGTTAATCTCAGATGCCAATCAAACATTTTCAACAAGCTGAACTAATCTACAATGAGGTTCCTTTTCTGGGAGCACTACTGCGTCGCCATAATTCTAGTTCCCAGTAGTAATTAGGAGTAACGAAAAGTTCGTGCAACATTAAATAAAAATATAAAGATGCAGAGATATTTTCACTTTAATTTTATCAAATGTTGAGGATAATTGCCATGATTATTTATATCAAGTTCAACCCTTTCTAACAATTTATTAAAAGTTTTTTTTGAAGTCTTTTTCGAAAAACTTTTTAGCTACCTTGGAAACTACCTGAGCTAATAATATTTCATTTGTTTCAAAAATTTAGTGGAATTTTGTTCGATCATGTCAGTTGCATTCTAGCACTACTATAGTTCGATCAATTAAAAGTTCGAGTTGAAATTTTGTTGTTTTTTAATTTGATGATAATGTGTTATCTTGTTTTTATATACTATAGATTGATATGAATTGGTCATATATTGACTGTTATAATCCACTAGTGCTCCTCTATATATATACTCTGTATGTTAGAGCTTTATCTCTTTGCATATGTATATATATAATTTCAACTATGATGATTTTGACATTTGATTTTCATTTGCATATTAAAGCTTGTTTCACATATCTGTTTTATGGTATGTATAGCTGACACTGTATACTAATATATT